GGCCACAGAATGCTCTGCCTCAGCCCCTGGTTATTCATAGTCAACACCTCCTGTCTCTTCTGCACTAGGCTGAACACATTTTGCCCTGAATTTTCTTCTGATTCTGTTCACTGGTAGGACAAGGGTATTACTGGTTTGTTATTGTTATTTATAAACAAGGAGTATCTGGAGATAAATCTTGGATCTTGCTTTCACATTTTGCTGCTGAATTGCTTTTGATTTTCAAGTAGATATGCATGAATCATCAATGAATTTTATATGGAAGGATTAACCAGGGACAGCACAAAGCGTATTATGCCAGAAGAAGTTTCCACCATCATCCTGGAGTCATATGTCGGGAAAAGCTGATCGTTCATCATCTCACCTGCTTGGCATCACACACAAGCCTAAGCAAGAAAGTGAGGAATAACTTACTTGTTTGGTGCTGGAGGGAGAAATAGTGGTGGCAAAATGTACACAGGCACGTTGGATTGCTCAGGATAACTCAGTTAAACACTGGGAAGACAACCCCAAATGGTTGTTCCTCATTGCTTGCTTCTTAATTTATTTTTTATTCCCCTTGCTAATATGTCCTTGTCATAGTTTCAAGAGGGCACCAGTGTCAGCTAGTATGAGGGTCTGTTCCCAAAGAAGAAGAAATACATATGTTTATCCCTATAAATAGCACTTGGATGACTTCCCACACCATATATCTCAGGTCTTTGAGCACTTCCTGAATTCTTTGCTCTAATCTTACTATAAAATTGTTTGTAAAACTAACCCCAGTGCCTCTTGTGTTACAGGTTGTACACTGACCATGCAAATGGGTTATTTAGCCTTTAGTATTGTCCCCAATACAAGAGTTTGCAGGGGTTTGCTTTCTCTGCCTGATGAGGAGAAGGTATTCTTGGTATTCCTATTGTGCTCTCCTGATGGCTTCTGGAAACGACTTCTGGCAATATCTTTCTTTTGTACATCCACCTGTGTTTTTCTTATCTGCATCCCATTATTTTGAAGGCAAGACTGGGAATAGGAGGTTAAGGGAAAATCTGTTGCTGATGTGATAAGGTTGCTAAATAATTCTGAAAAGCTTTTATTTGGTGAAACTGCACAAAAATGATGACAACTAATAGCTGCCTGAAGGTCCCCCAGGACAATGCAGAATTTTTTCACATTGAAGACGGAGGGGTTATTTTTGAATTTCTGCATATCTAAAGAAAAGCAGCAGAACCTCTGATAGTGAGGTCATTTTTTTCACACAGAAATGTCCCAGTAGATGGAAATGAAGTCGGTGGGATTTCAATTCTGTAAGAATTAAATAAAAAGTTATTATGGACTTTGGAAGATGGCCCAGTTGCTGGAAGTCCAACAAGATTTCCTCCAGCCATAAATTGCATGATAGGCTAATTTACTGGGGCTTTCCCATCCCTTACAGCAAAGCCAGTAACAATAAAACATTAAAGTAAGTAACATTAAAACTTCTGTGTCTTCCTAAACTCTGATTTTAAGGGAAGGGACAGCAAGACCACCTATACTTTGGCTCCCAGCCCGTCCATGTGTCAGAATGCCCTGGTGTTCCCCTCCCACATGCCACGTCCTCTGCCCTTAGGAGCTTGCTCCCTTCTCACATACTTTCTGGTGTAGGTCCTCAATGATTTGCCTCCTGGAGGAACATCCTTGGGTCCCATTTATGCAGGAGGTTCATCCCCATCCCTGGCCAAGTGTCCTGGTTTTGCTTGCAGGAATAGCCCTTGCCCTGCACCCAACCCGCTCTCAGGCAGGGGGCTGGTTTAGAGGCATGTCCCTGCCCGTGACCTGGAATAGCAACTAACACTTCTCAAGCTCTCACTAGCAAGGGAAAAGCTGTCCAAAAGAGGCTGTTTTCTGCCCTGTGCCCATCTCTCAGTAGTTCTAGTATCTTCCTGCATGACTCTGTCTCTCCTCGTGCATCAGCCCTCCCAGCACCCACCCCGGCGATGGGCTGCAGTGACCTCCTAGACACAGAGGTAGATACCCCAGACATGTAGATCCTCAAGCCATGCAGAGGAGCAGGAGAAGAGTTGAATGTCTGTAGGGAAGGGATTGAAAGGCTCTGGAGAGGCTGGGGCTCTTGCTGGGGTTCGTGTCTCTCTGCTCCCCCCTTGCAGGGTTATAGCCCTCCGGCTCTGTGTTGCTCAGCAGTTTGCTCCTACCTTTTGCTGCCACAAGTGTGTATAAATCACAGCAGCCCTAATTTGTGCTCTTGTACCTTTGCCAAGGTAATTAGTACAGTGCACATTTTAAGAGAATTATTTCTCTCTCCGGAGCAGCCTGCCAGCGCCTCGGCATGCACAGCGCTGTCTGCTTGCCTTAAAATGCTTTCTCAGAGCAGTTTGGTTTTGTTTAAGGAAAGTGCTGAGGAAAGCAAGAAATTAATGAAGGGCTGTCAGGCTTCTCATATGGAGCCCCCTGCATCCCTCAGGGAAGAGGGACAGAGCAATGGCTCCAAGGGCCTTTGGAGGAGCCGTTTCCCTCCAGCCCGGGCATCTCTGCCCCAGTGGCCATCCCAACAGTTGCAGTGCTGGTGCTGTCAACTCCAACATTTCCAACCCCCTCAGTAAAGCATCCAAAATCTTGAGGGTTGTGACAAAAGTGGAGGAAGGTGAAAATCAGTTTGTGTGCATCCCTCCACAAGACTGTCTGATGTAAGCGCTGATATTTATTGCACTAAAGTAAGTTATACAAATATTCTTCATAGATACCTGTCGAGATGGATCCTGGTTGTGGATCCAGTTCCTGCATTAGGCTACCAGATGTTTTTCCTTCATTGTCCAGGTGCATAGTGGCTTTTTGGCATTTTCTTAAATGCACCATTTTTAATGGTTCTCACACGCCAGTTCCGTCACTGGGTTTCACATAGGAGTTGCTGCAATACACAAGCGCATGCCCATTAAGTAGGTACGCAGTCTTACTCTGAACGTAAATACTTGTCTGGCATGAGGTTATCTTACCTGCTTTTGATAATGGCAGTCATCCAGTGGGACACAAATGAGGACTGGCTCATCTGCTCTGCAAGACAAAGAGCGAGATTTCTGATTCAGCTGAATCACAGTGGATTCATCATAATGTTGCAGATTTCAGTAGAGTTCTTCCAGGTCAATATGGATCTGATGCAGATCAACATCTCACTCAGTATTCAAATTATTTATCAAACATACTGGCTCTTCAGAGCTAACAAAACATTGCTCCTTTCACCATCAAGTGTTGAGTTGGTTCAAATAACCTCCAGGGCAGCCAGCTGGCTTTGGGTTATAAATAACTTGAGTATTTCATTTCTTACAGTTCCTCCCCCCCTTGCTCTGTTGTTGCTACAAGGCAGTGTTTCAGCTAGACCTTCAGTCCATTTATAATGACTGGCTCTCTCCAATTAAATGCTTTATTAAGGTTGATTGAGTCAGAGTCCAAGAAAACTATACGAAAAAGATCATTTCAATATCAGCGATGTAAAAGAATAATTTACACAGTAGACTAGAGACAAGAGGGAAAAATGCATCATCTCTATACGAGACAACAGGGGCAGAAAGCCCTGTTTAACTGTGAGCAGGATGGGTTTACTAAAACCACAGATCAGCCTCAAAGGTAAATCTGGTACTTTGCAACAGTGGTATTAAAACTTGAAGAAGAGGTATCTTTGCTGGCACGTCTGTACAGAGAAGGACAGACTACGGCATGCAGCGTTGGCTGGATGTGAGGGATCGCTGACACATGTGTTTTATCTCTGCAGTTCTTAACGCAGTGCTGGATGTGGTTTTCCCACGTCTACAGGGCTGGAGGAGCCCTGCCTCGATGGAGTGACTATCCTGCTGTCTGCAGCACGGGGAGGGTGCCCCCTGAGTGTTTTAGGTCAAACTAGGCAAATAATGTTCTATGTCCTGCTTGTCCTGGGGCTAGGTGTTCTGAGAAGTCTGATTATAAATACAGAAAACCAGGACAGGACTGTTGTTAGCCTTAGGCAAGGTAAGCAATTTGATGCGGGCAGCAAAATCACTTTCTGCAAGTGAGAAAGGGAGAGGCTCTCCATGTGTCTGCGCAACAGTGGCAGGTCCATGTGCAGCCCATGCAGGCCCTGCTGCAGAGGTGGAAGGACTCCCAGACATCCTCCTTGTTGTGCCTGGGGACACAGAGACCAGCACAACCTGCAGATGAATCCTGCCCTCTGCCTGATAGCTCTGTGGGGCTCCTTGTCCTGCTTTGCAGCAGCTCTTCCTCTCTGTTGTGCTGGAGAAGAGGTCTATGCAGGTGGCCGGTGGCTCCTCAGTTGTACAACAAAACCTTCCTATACAGCTACGGTCTCTTGCACAACGTAGAGACCACAGGTTGTGTGCTCAGAGCCCATCAGATGCAATGCAGGTGGCTAGGTAGGTGTCATCACCTCTTGTGTGTCCCCGGTTCCCAAGGCTCTGCTGTGTCTCCATGTCTGCAGAGCCACTGCACTGCCTCTCCGTCATCTGGGAGAGAATAAAGCCAGTGTAAGTGCCTTGCATAAGGTATTGTGTGAGAACAGTCCAGAAGGACAACCAGAGCAGTAAAGTCAGTATGGAGAAGACTCCTGGAAGGGGAATGGTTGTGCTGAAGGATGAGAGGGACTGGTGCTCTGTGGATGTAGGGTGTAGCTCATGAAAGCTCCTCTTGCCACATTTATAGGAGAGGATGGAAGGGCTCATGGCTGTGTAATAAAACTATTCCTCTGGCTAAAGACTCAAAAGCATGCAGAGGGAGGCCAGGATGTCTGCATGAGCCAGTGTAGGATCAACAGCACCAGGTTTCCATGCAGAATTCCTCTTTGTCCAGGACAGTGCCAATCTTCAGAAGTGGGTTTACATGTCCCTGAACAAACTTCTCTTATGGTAGGGCTTGCCTGCTTGAAAACTTATTGGAGCAAGTCTTAAACAAGAGTTTCTCCTTCTTCTCCCTCCCTCTTTCTCACCTTCTGGGCAACGACTGGTCCAAGGGTCACATCTCTCTCTCTTGTTCTCCATTAGGCTCTGTGGGTATCCACCTTTCTATGACGAAAACGACTCCAAACTCTTTGAGCAGATCCTGAAAGCAGAGTATGAGTTTGACTCTCCGTATTGGGATGACATCTCTGAGTCTGGTAAGAATCTACTGCTCATTTAATTGCAACAACCATGCGTGTATGCATGCTTGTTGCAGATACCTTCTTCTGGGCATGAGAATGCACCCTCCATCATGTGCAGAGCTCCTTTTAACTGAAAACCATTGGGAATGTGCATTTCTTTCAGCTCAAATAGTTATGGGAGTTTATTTCTGCAGGAGAGCAAATTAAGTACCATTTTGTCCAGCCGCACACAAAGCACCAAAACGTAGCTGGAACAGAAAATGAAGACAGCAGAAGACTGTCCCAGGAAGACAAAGCAGTTTAATTTCTCCATCATATCCAAATAAAAAGCAGATGGTTTACGTGTCATTAATAATAAGGTGGCAAACTAGTTTGGCTCTGTTAGGGACACTGCACTGCAGGTCCGAAGCAAATCTGCAGTGTATACAGCAAAGAATCCAAGAAATTAATGGCTTCCAAATGAGGCGGGTAAGCAGATTCAGAAACTGGGACTACTGTCCACATGGTCGGATCCAGATAGCTGCCCGTATGCTTGCCCAGTTCCCCACCCAGTGCAGAAGACATTTAACCCATAGTGCCTGCCTGTCCCTGCTCTAGTCAGACTGGTAGAGAAGCAGATGTACCAACCTGCTACAGGCAAATATGCCTAAAAGCTTCTGGCTCCAGCATGGCTCATGGTCCGCCAGCATCCGTGTCTATAGGTGACAGCAGAGCCGTGTTCAGCATTGCACCCTGCACGTGCCGCTGATGTCCTGTGTGGTCTCCAAGAGGTCACGTAAGCTCCGTGTCCTTGCTCTGTCCAGCCTGGTGGGACGTCTGCTATTTCATGCAGGAGAAGAAATGAATTCTAGGAATACTTTATCATACAAAAATATCCCTAGAAATGCCATTTTCTGATTCATTAGTACTACTGATTAAGGCAAGGAAGATATAAAAATAAGTGTTTTATTTTAAAGATGATTATATATCCTGTTATCTCCGCATAGAACAACATTTCATGCTGCTTACATCTGCAGTCCAGATATCATTGTGATGGATTGCTTAAAAATACATGTGATGAGAAGTTTTTTTAAGCCCATAAGGGTTTTCAGAGAAAATATGAAGGTCTGCTGGCAGACCCCTTTGCATTTTGGGGGAAAGTCCATCACCTAAATCAGCACAAAGATTTTCCTGCCATATTTGGCTTTGCTGTGGCTCCTTCAGCTACTCTCTTCTGAAACTACTGGATGCATGCCATGCTGCAATCTCCCTTCCTTCCATTATAGTGTTGATTAAAAACACACTACCTCATGCTCAAGGGAGTCCATTTTCCTCAGTCACTTGTTTTTAAATACACAACATGTCTTCACAGCTGCCCATGTGTGCGATTGCTTGGACTGAGCAATAAGAAGTTCCTCTTACTGTGGCATCTGACCTCCTCCTTGCCTTTCCCACTCAGTTTACCAGCATCTCCAACAGACGCAGCCATATTCAGACCACTAAGATGGTCGGAGACACTTGGCTGACCAGGGAGCCAGGAGCTCACAGGCTTGTACGCTGCTGACTCCTAAATATACCTGCAGGACTAGATGCCTTCAGGTTTTATCTGCCCCACTAAATAAGTTGGATTTGGTCTAAGTCACTTTGGTTGTATCTATACTGATAAATGACAAATGACCATCTTCTGGTGCTGTGGCCAGACTGCACTTGGGAGCCTGATCAATGCTGTTGGCTGATCATCTGGCAGTAGAACTGGGTATCAACCCTATTGCTTTAAATAATTCTTTCTTCTTTTTTTTTTACAGCTAAAGACTTTATTCGGAATTTGATGGAGAAGGACCCTAATAAAAGATACACCTGTGAGCAAGCAGCACGGCACCCTTGGTAAGCAACAATCAGTGCTGTGTGAAACCCCCAGGACAGAGAGCACCATTTTACCTTCATGGATGGAAGTGGGTTTTCTGTCACGTAGTATACCAACCTCTACGAAATAACTCTGTGCTTTAATTCTTACAATTCTTGCCTTTGTCCTCCAGATTTTCCTGTAAAACCATGGTGGACTTTAATCTCATTCACCACCCTGTTGAGTGTTTGTGTAAGGATTCAGTGAAATGCCGAATTATGCATGTTATGTTGACTGTAGTGCAGCAGTGGTATATGCCAAAATAATCGAACCCAGAAATCATATTTTGGGGCAAAAAGGTCAAATTCTGTAGGTATGCAGAAATCTGGATACCAACCTGCTCATGAGGTCCTTGCCAAACCAATATCAGAGCACTTAAGAGCATCTCATGAAGTACGAAGTCCTCATCTGTGCTTCACAGATGATAGTCCACCTCCTGCTCGTGGTAAGGAGCCAGTTTCACATGCTGTTTATCCTCTCTTGTTGAATGGAAGAGATAGGAAACCCTAAGGAGCGATAAGCCGAGTCTGAATTGGCTACAGCAACGCTATCTCTCTGCAGTGACTACAGAAAAGTACCTGGTCTGACTGTATTTGTAATTTAGACCTCTGTTAAGTGCTTTAAATTAGATGATACCTTTGCACATGGATGACTTCATGAACGTTACCCAAGGATTATGTAGCTGAAACAAAAGTGGCTCATGTACTTTTGACCAACCCTGAGGGACTAAGCATCACCACACTACCAGCTGTACTAGTAAATGGGCTCTGGATGTAAGTCTTTTAGGGCAGGGATCATTATATATGAAGTGAGGTATTATTTTGGTTGTTATAACAGCTGCCACAGAGAGGAATCAATGGCATGACATTTTCACCCTGGGTGTGCATTAGACTGCGTTTTTATGCTATCACAATTACCACAAATACCATTTCCTTTTGCAATTTCTGGAGCACTGGCTGGTTAAGAGCATTAGGCTGTGCGTTTGCAGGGAAACAGAAGGTTTTCCTTAGTGTCCATAGCCCCTCAGAAAAGCAACTGGGCCAGTGTCATAACCAGCTCAACAGCTTGATGGTCCACAAAACTGTCCTGGTGATGCAATTTGAGCCCAGGGATCAGCCTCGAGTAGAGTAGTTGAGTATAAAACACATGGTAAGAAAAGCACAGGCATAGAAGTTGTCGGCGAGTTTTAAGGTAGCACTGCTTTCTGCTGCGATTAGGAGACATTCATTTGGAGGACGGAGTCTGCACCCATCTGAGGCTGGGGAGCTCTATCAGCGGGGCTCTTGTCATCTCTTCCTCCTCAGCAGATGTGGGTTTTGGACACACTCCTCAACCTTTTCAGCCATGAAGGGACAGAACTTGGTAGCCAGCTTAAAATTGAATTAAATTTCAAAACAGAGTAAAGCCTAATGCTTGTATCTCTAGAACAAATACTAAAGTTTGTCTTCAAGAGGTTTATGCTTTTTTCTCTGACGCTTATTGGTTTGTCTCATCTCATTACTGCTTTCATTCCTGGAACTAGATGGAAAGTAAATCCTTTCAAAAGTTTGCTGATGAATTACCCCCATCACTAATTAATGATTTGGCACTCATGAAGACATTCAGTAAGTTATGACTACACAAGTGGTAGAAATACAGTGAAATGGCACTGATTTCTTCATAGTGGGAATGATATACCAATGTCTGCAGAGTGTTGCTGTGATTACAAATTAGGCTAAAGATAAGACTGAGGCTCAGCCTTTACAATTAAAAAGTTTTACGAAAGGCTTGGGATACAGAAGGCAATGTAAACCATTGAGAAAAGCATGGTTCTTGCTTTCATCCCCCATGCCAATGACAATGAGAAACATTTTGTGTGTGTTTTTTAGCTGCATCAGTGGCTGGCATCAATACAAATGAGAGATGAGAGGAAGTGAAGACCTGGGCCTGCCCTTTTTCCAATGTCCCATCAATAACTACATTGTTTGTGTGACAAAAAGGAAATTTGGGGAACAAAATCCAGCTTTCATGAGATGGGGGAAAAAAAAAAGCAACCATTTCTAAATGATACTGACCTGAGCCTCAGGAAATTAAACAAGTTACAAAAGTCAATACTAGAAATACAGAATAAACAATGGGAATGTAACTCCCAGCAGAGAATGAGGTGACCATTTGTATAACTCAGAGGCAGATTTTCCTAAACCTTACATCCAAGATACACAAAACGTAAGCATCCGGCTCTTGGCCCAGCTACATCTGTGTTGGTTGCTGGAGTGCAACAAAGAAACGTGGCACTTGTAACACACACAGTTTCTGGGCCCTCCTAAAGGAACAAAATGATAAAAAGTGTTTTTGTTCTCTTTTTTTTTCTTTTTCTTTTTCTTTTGCATGTCATGGCCAGGAGCCAATGGAAACTCACAGACTGCTCCATCATTTTCGGTAACTTCTACAGAATCCAGTCTTCCACTTAAAAACAACCCCCCAAAAAGGGTTTTCTCCCATTTCTGTGGCAAGGGGTCTTCTTCTGCCAGGCTGACTTTTCAAGGCAGTGGTTCATTTGCACGGCTACCTCCAGTCAAGTAAAGTGCGGCTCAGGGTCAGCCTTTGAAATGTCAGGCATACAAATGAGACCGCGGTAGGGAGGCTTAAAATATTCATCCTGTTTCCACCTCACATCCCAAATCCACCTCCCTTCAACATAAAAGCAGTATGTGCCAGTGAATTACAGGACAGTTGCACAGTAACAGCAAGGTTTATGAAGATATGGCTTCAGATCTGTCTCTGTCCTCCCCAGTGTGGTCTTGAGCAAAACTTGATGTCTCATTCCCCCTTGCTCTGAAAAGCGTCCTGTAACATAAATGTTGCAGTTACGGACCTCTCTATGGAGAGTGGTGCTGTGATTTTTTTTGGAGGGTTTGGATCCTGTAGTGTTAAATGCCTTTTTGGATAATCAAGACTACTCACACGGATATTATCTGTTATTTCAGAGTTAGTAATAGGATCTCCTTTTGCCAAACCATTGCTCAAGAAGCATTTTCCACCCAGATTGCTTATGCCAGGAAATAATGAGGGTTTTACTGCTTCTTTTCTCGTTCTAGCCGTTATATCTCTTGCAACAGCATCTTCCCGTCCCCTTTGAAGGAAGGGAAGGCCTCTTAGGTGGAGGAGGAGGAGGAGAGCTCTGTGCTTCCTCTCAATGGTCAGCTGTGTCCTTCCCTCAGCCTGGGTATATTTAAGTTTCCAACAATTTCATGTTTGAGTTCTCTCTTGTGATCGCATTCAGTGCTGCAGCAGTCAGAGATGAGGGTGCACGTGTTCAGCCAACAGAGAGAGGGTACCACATCTTCTGTAATGGGAGCATCCCATACCACCTTTTCACATGAACATATGTTTTGCAGCATACATCCCCATTAGCAACATCACCTTCCACAGTGCCTACATAGCCTTGTCTTCTCTGTGTGTGATCAAAAATAATGAGGTACGTAAGACTACTGGCTGAGTGGGAAGAGAGGGTCAGAGCAGACTTCAAGCAGTCCCATATACGATATGCTCTTGCAAAGTGCTTACACTTCAAGTAGCCCTTAATGGCATCTCTTAAAAGGTATTTTTTTTGTCTGCACAACTGGTTCTGTAGAGCAATGTAACTGGAGAAGCATCTTTGAACCTTAGACTTCGCATGAAGTGAAATCCTCATTCTGCTGAGGTTAATGGGAGTTTTGCCACTGGCTTCAGTGAGAGTTGGGGTTTCTCTCCTTGTCTGACCAGCGGAACACAGAACACCTGCCCAAGTCTGTGACAGATGCTTGTGCTGTGCAAATGGTAGATAATTAATATTTACAATGAAGTGGCTCCACATAGTGACAGTTTCCAGCTTTCCCTTTTTCTTCCTTCTGTGAAATCTGCCCCTGCAGTATCAGATCACTGGGATCAGCCACAAATTAGGAAGAAATCTATCAAATAATGAGTACTTAACACATAATCTGATTGTGATAAAAATAATCAACTGTGCATGAGATGGCTACCTGGCCGTGAGATTTTGTTGTTTAAACATGAAACATTTGCGAAGAACAAACTGATTCAAAAATATACCTCTTCTTTTAATTACCATGTTTTTATTAAAAACTTTCAAACAAGACTTGCAAGAACTGAATCTTGCAAGATATTACATTTGTGCCTTTAAGGTAATAATCTCTTTGAATTTCGGGAAACTGCTCTAGAATAGCCAGCTATTCACATGACTAAATGTTTGTACAGGATCAGACCCTAAAAAAAGTAAATACTTCTTCCCAATGGCCCACTTTTCTGTGCTGTATCTGCTCCCCACATGCCTGCATTTACGTGATGTTTTGCTATTTATAATCAAATGGCCTTGGCAGGGGGACGGTATGTTAAACTCGGAGTTGGCAGAAAAGGAGGTTAATAGTTGTAGTGAAGTATGGTAGCTGAAACAGTACAATATGTAAGACTTGTTGGTATAGTGATTACACCCCAGCCTGTATAATCTGTCTGTTTATACAGATTTCTCCAGTTTAATATACAGGTGACTTATGCTTTCCATTGGAAAAGTTATTTATTTAACAGTGTAAAAATAAATGCACTGTTTATGGTGTGTTGCAAACGTGCAATGTGCTGCTTTGTTGTTTTGCTGTGACTTTCCAAAAAGGACGTGGAAAATGAAGGTAACAAAAGAGTGGAGTAATTTTCCTGCAGCTTGATACATTTTAATGTTTCCCTAGCTCATATTAATGACAGCAATTAAGTTTATTAAATATATTGCCATGTTAGAACCCACATCCTGTTTAGAGCAGTCGCTCAGACTGCAGCGTTTAAGGGCAAGCAGCAGAAACCCGGGGATCTGTTTTTTCCAGCCGTAGGATCACACTGTACTCCCCATCGGGTCAAGCTGGGCCCTGCAACCCCAGATTTAGCCTCCAGGCTCGGGTCAGAGGGAAAGAAAACAGCCTGTGGAGAGCGAGGAGAAGGTCCAACAGTTGGTCCCCAT